CCTCCCCAATAAAAAACATTTTGAATTATATAAGAGTTCGCAAGTCTTCATTTTATTTCTCGCCTCGAGCGGGGAACCCTACTAATCCCTTTTCAGTACCCTCTGTTCTAGAAGTAAATCAAACCAAGAGAAAACACAGATGTCTTTCGAGGACCCGGGACATTTGGGCAACAGCCTCGAACCCGTGAATCACTTCAAGACTTCAAGACTTCAAGACTTCAAGACTGAACTGAACTGAACTGGACTTCAAGGCCTTGAACTCAAGGCCGCTACGTGCTTCCAAATTTATACTGTTGTGCTGAATGATGGGGTATAAGAAGTTGCTGTTGGTGTTTCTCGTGGTGATCATAGTCTCTGTGCTATATATAAATCCTCGTCTTCAGATTGGTAAGTGGTAGGAATGCGTCCGTTGTTCTCGTTGGCTCGAAATTCCAGGGCTTACGCCCGTGCATTGAAATATGGCATTCCTTGTACCAGTCACCCGTGTTTTAAGGCACCAGTGGTTCAACCATCGGTGTTCTTACATAAGTCATATGTGGCTCCAAAGTGGAAAATCCGTGCGTAAATTAAGGTTTTAACTTTCTTCTTCCTCATTCCAGTTTCGTTCTTCTGGAAGACCGCGGAACGCGATGTTGACATAGACGTTTACAAACTAAATTCGATGCTCAAGGCGAACAATGTTCAATTGATAGATGTAAGAGAGCCTCATGAAGTGAAAGCCGGCAAGATCGAAGGCTCTGTCAATATTCCGCGTAAGCATAGTGACGTTTTTGTGTAATACCGTTTCAGTTGGGGATGTGGAGGAGGCGTTCCTTATGAGCGATGAGGAATTCAAAAAAACATATCATATTCCGAAGCCAAAGAAATCTGACGGAAACCTGGTCTTTTCTTGTCGCAGTGGTGTTCGCAGCATGCGGGCTTTGAAAACTGTTGAAAATTTGGGCTACAAAGGGTATGTCAATTAAGTAAACCCAATGACATTTGTCAACCTGTGTTTAGAGCATGGAATCTTAAAGGTGGTTACATGGCGTGGGAGAAGGCATTCAAACAGGATCTTTAGCAATTAAATTTATCGAGTAGTTCAGCTACTCACGGTCTGTAACACGTAATTTTTTTCCTATGACTCCCTTATTTTGTACTCCGATATTGGTCTTGACGGATATTTTCTTCGTATAATGTAAACTCTGTTCTTTACTACTCGTTTTCAAATCGCTACTTGGGGGCGTTTGGAGCTACTTCTGCTGGGACCGCTCAGTTGGATTAAGTATCTGACAATCACGACGAGACTGCGTCTTGACGTGATGTGATG